GGGAAGGTGTGTAAGTGTTAGTCGTGTGGGGATGCCCCCTCACGGGGGCGTACGTGTCTTTTGGTGTATTTGTCTGTCTGGTATATTGTTTGTCGGGGGTCGCAATTTTAAAGAAATGTATTCTAAAGTAATGAAAATAACTGATAAATAAGTAAAAACTTACCTGGGCATAACCCCGGCACAGGTGCTGTAACAAAGATGCCGACGGCGTCTATGCTTAAGCCGGGGATTAGGTCGGTGATTAAAAGGAAAGAAAGGGATTCTTTCCAGGTAGCCTTAATAAAGGCAGGTAGAATTTGCTCCTTGCACTTCCCTTTCACAAAACACGTGTGCTCTGGTCGGCTGCCCGCTAGGAACTGAATTCTAGACCACGATACGATGTTTTTTAATTCACATATTTGAATACGCCAAACAGTGAAGAAGAAGAAGAAAAAGGAGAAGCTCTGTGTCGATAAATTAACATTCTTTTTAAAAATCTCCTTCATCTGTTTTTAAGCTTGTGTTCCAATAGTAGATGGCGCTGGACAATATAACATTTTTCTCTGTGAAAATTGTGCGGAATATTTATAAAAACGGTGTGAATGTGAATAATTGTGAAATACTCGAGGATCACGTAAGTTTTTTTAAATTTGTGTAGGTGCTTAACTATGTATACTCTGCATTTACTATATACAATTCGCAATGAATTTTCTGTGGTGGATAATGTATCTACATATTTGAATTAGGAAAACATAATCAGTAATTTTTCAATTAAAACGTGACAACGTGGTCCTGATCCTGAAGAAAAATTTCAGGATTAAAAATAATGTTGGTTTGAAGGTAATTGTTTTATATGATTACTTTGATGGCATCAGTGTAAATAAAACTACAATATTTAAGATTTTTTCTTTATTTTACAAATGTCGCGAAGGCACAAATCTCAAAAATAACAATTTAACAACAAAACTATGAAAACATGTAAATTACCAAAATGTGTACATACAAATACAATTTTTCAACAAAAATGGATATCTAGATAGATAATACACGCATACCACTTGTCTTTTATATGATTAATGATAATTACAAATGATTTTCCCCCAAATGATATATTGTCGATTATCGCTAATTTGGCGGAATTTCTTTTCAGCCAATTTGATATATTTCCTAATTGGGGGGTAGGTAAAAAATTCCACACACACTCATAAAATGCCTAAATCTAAGCCTAGAAAGAAATTAAAACAAGGAAAATATGAAATGAGCAACATGGCATCTAAATTTTAGTACAATCTATGAAATGGTGAATTAAAATAAAAATTCGATTAAGGTACTTAATAATTGAGGTGGGACACTACATAATTAAAAAGTGTTTTCCACCAAGCCTTATACACTATTTTAACAATATTAACGAACATTTAACAATAAAAAAAACGAAAAAAAAACAGTTACGTCTTAAAGTTTACATATGTGCATTTTTACTTGACATAGATATTCGCATATATGTACTGAATGTATCAAAAAAGCACGATAGTTTTGTGGACAATTTAGAAATTTGGAAACTGATAAAAACGGCAAAATTATCATCATTTTTTGATTACTATGCGTACTTGTAGGAATCAGCCCTTTCCAAATACCCATTATTCAGTACTATGCGAGTAAAATGACTACACTTTTATTCGTCTATCATCAACAGTAATAACAATTTGAGCTCTTCGAATCGGGAACCGCATTATGCAACAACAATGCCGTTTATGTCAAGTAAAAAAAAATATCTAGATATTAATTAACAGATTTTTGCTTGCACAAAAATATAATTATATCTGTCTTCGATTTACCGATAGGCGTTAACATAATTATAGTAATATACAGATCTTTAAAATGACCAAAGCGCAGGTCAGTTACTTTATGTGGAAGATTATCATAAAGTCATCTTATGCGAGTGCACCAATTTTTTAATTTGGCATCGAGGTCGGGAAATTGGTTTGACATTTAAGTACAAGGCAAATTAAGTTGGCAAGAGGACATTATGATTCAAATATTTATTATTACATCGTAGCAGTACCTTAGCAATAATAAAAAAAACATGGGAATTTTTCTTTAAACGTGCGCGATGTTTCTTATAAAGTTTTTTTTTGGAGATGTTTGTAGGTTCTCAAAAGTATTAATACTGTTTTAAATTTTTTTAAGAGGTTTTAAAATTGAAAATCTTTTTCGTTCGGTAGGTGACGTCGGAAATACCTAAATGTGAAAACAGTTGTACAATTTTTAGTAAAGGGTAAGAGGTATTATTATAGGCATTTTCACATGATACTGCAACAAATTGCTCTATAAGGCAAATTTCCGTGCTTTGCGTTATTTGAATTATTTACTTTTTCCTTTATTTCTCTCTGCAGATTTAAATAATCCTCATTATTTCCATATTTACTGTCATACACTTCTAATACATCTTCCCCCTGTTCAATGTGATTGTTCTGATCCGTCAACATGGGGCCATTTTCGCCACCAGTTTGATTTTTCAATTCGCTAACCCCAAAATCGTTTTCCCAGTATTCCATCAAGTCTTGTTGCTGTATACTTGCTTCTTCTGAATTTAATTCACTGTCTTTTGTAAAAATTGTGATTTCTTCATCACCAACAGCGGTCGAGTCACTCACTACAGTGTCCGTTTCACTCGCGCTGTCACAAAATTCCTTGTAAATGGCATCAGGGCTTTTCAGGATCTCAACGTCGGGCGTTGTTTCGCGAGTCCTGCTCATCCACTCCTTAACGGCTTCTGTGATTGGATATAATATTTTCAGTTCAACTTCAGCTTCATTTTTAATTTCACCGCCAGGTTCGTAGTGTCCGTTTGTGTCTTCGTTCGGTGTTTCTTCAGTTTGCTTGTCATTTGTCGCGATCTGGCCTTGAAGAGTATCGGTCAGCTTGGTATTTTCTAAAAAAATTCCATCTTCATCCGGTGAGTCTAAATCAGGTAATAGTTTATTAAAATCCCTATTGTGAGAATTAGTTTCTTCACTTACCGAACTGGGCCTGAACAGCGATCTCGAGTCTTGTAGAGCTTTAGTAAGGTCCAGTGTTTTGTTGAAGCCGTTCTTATCAACACTCGGGTTGATGTTGGATAAGTTGCTGAACACGGACTTGAAGAAGCCATCGCTGTCGTCGATGTTCAAGGATTTTACTTTCTCCTCCAGACTACTGTACATTCCTTTCTGGATGATTTTGTCTAATTCCTGAGATATTTCCACGTTGGTCTTTTCCACTGATTCAGGCGACAGTGCCGAATCCAACAAGAAATCATATGAATCGTCCATATTGTTTATCGTAGTGTTGGAACTGGATAAACTACTTGCTATTGTAGTTTTACTAGGCTTCTTCTTCTTCTTTTTGCCTTTTTTCTTTTCCTCTTCTTCGTCTTTCTTCAGAGGTTCCTCTTCTATTTGTTTCTCAATTTTCTCTTCAGTTGGTACAACCTTTACCGATTCATTAGATTGTTCGGTCACTTTGGTAACTATTTTCTTCAAAGAAGGTGTCTTTACTTCTTCACATTGCATAGACAAATCAACATCTGTTATAATGACTCTTTTTGTTGTTGGTTTCTGTGTCCCTTTCTTTGATTTTTTATTGTTCTTAGCTTTAACAACTTCCTCTTGTTCTGCAGAATTTACTTTAGATACTGCAACCGATTCAATCTTTAACTTTTCTTCAGTTATTTCTTCTTCATTTAATATAATGTCTGCTTCAGGTGTTAAAGTTTCAGTTTCAACAGGATCTTTCACAATTAGTTCCTTTTCTATGTCGTCCACTGATCTTATCATAAGGTTTAATGAGATATTTTCCATGTTATTTATAAGACTCGCTTCATTTTGAGTTATGGTGTTTATAATATCTCCAATTTCAATTTCTTCTTTTGTTTGAACTTTTATGATCTCTTCTTCTTCTTGCGTTGGTGGTACAACATCTACGAGCTGGTTAACATCGTATTTTTCGAACAAGTCTCTTTCTGAATGATCGTCATTTTCTTCAAACGAAACTTCGGATTCATCTGGATTTTTGTTCTTGCGTTTCTTCCTACTTGACACAGAGATCCACTGGTTGGGTTGCTTTGGTTGAAGAGTAGGAGTTTTCGTTTTTTCATTTTTCACATCACTTGTACTGTTTTGGTTATATTTTTGTTTTTCACTGACTTGCCGGTCGAAGGGTTTCTGCTCGTTTGGATGAGTTGTGGTTTTATTCTTTACTGTTGCCGAATAGTTTCTACTTTGCTGATTAAATTTATAGTCCCTAATGCTATTTTCTGCCATTGGTTTATTGTTCTGCATGGGTCTGTAATTTCTGACAGGACTGTTGGGCTGCCATTTCGGACTTCCTGTTTGAGGAGCATGGAATTTCCAATTTCTTCTATTTTCGGAATTTCTTTTAATGTACGACAGCTCTTGAACATTGGGTCTGCTCTCCATTGCTGGAGTACCGTTACACAGGTTAGGATCTTTATCCAGATTTTGTTCTGAAATAAATCCGTTTATTTCTTTAGGTTTAATTTCTTTATATTCTTCATTGTTTGCTTTAAACGAATGAATATTCCTTTGAGGTGAATTTTGTGCACTGTTATAATTATTTCGTCTGTAATTAGGAATGTTTTTGTACTTTTGGTTCATTTTGTTGTTTTTGTTGTCAAATCTCCTTCTTGGGCTGCTCTGACTTGCTTCACCTTCCTGATTCAACTTCTGTGCTTCTTTGCTGTCTTGTTCTTTGGCAGCCTCCTCAAGTTTGGAGACGATAGTTGCAATATCAATAGTTTTGTTATTTACATTTTGTACTGAAGTCTTCTCTGCAACTTTTTCAACATGGTGTTCCTTTTCATTATTGGCAGTGCTAGAATTATCACAAGCTGCAACATCTTCAGTGTTGCTGGTGACGGATTCTTCACCATTCGTACAATTTTCTTCAGTTCCAGGCTCAGCTCTGGGTACAAAGTGAGCATTTGGGACAAAGCCAACAAAGTTGGGATACAGTTTCGGGTCTGGAGGTAGGAAGTTAATTGGTATACCCGAAGGAATAAACGTTGGGTTGTAGTTTTGTCCATTGAAATCTCCTAGTGGTACTATGGGTATGGGAATGAAGTTGGGAGGTACTTTTATGAATTGCAAATTTGGATTTATTGGAATTTCATTATTCCTGTATGCTCTGGGAATAAATTCTTCGGCATCAGGTTTCAGCTCAGACTTTTGCGGAATTGGTTCTGGAGGAGGATCCTGTGGATGTTCGATTGTGGAATCTTGTTTAGTTTCTAATGGACTTTGGTGAACTTCGGTACTGATTTCTTCGTTTGCTGGCTTTTCGGTTGCTTCCTGGACTTCTGGTTCGGTTGGTGGGGTGCAGTTAGGGCTTTCTTTTGAAATTTCCACATCCTCCTCCTTCGATTCCACCTTGTCTGACTCCACTTCTAACTTACTCTCATCTTTAACTTCAGGATTATCTTCGATATCTTTCGTTTCCACATTCTTTGTTCCTTCCATTTCTTTTTCTACCTCTTCAATGGGTTTTTCTACGTTTTCCACAGGTGTTTCTTCGTTCTGCTCTGTCTTTTTATCAGTTTCACAGACAGCTTCCGTCACCTGGACATTTGACTGACTTTCTTCATTACAGGAGTCATTTTCATCTTCTGTGTATTCGGAACTATCATGGGCCGTCTGGGACTTTGAGGTTTTTCTGCGCCTGCGCTTTTTAATTCTCCGAGTCTGATCGGTCTGATTCTGCCCATCTACCGCATCTGCAACAAGAAGAAATTCATTGTTAGTAACATATAATCCCTGTTTCCTTTTGAATAGTTACTTTTTGTATAAACAATGCAAGACATTATAAATAGGGATGGAATAAGTTTCTAATCTATAATTATGCACCAAAAGAGCTGCAATTATTTGACATTTTCATTTTTTACATCTGTCAATCATAGGTGATGCTATTTCTGGACACAACAGTTATTTTTAATAAAAATTTAACTGATCTAAATCGTAGTGGTTCAATAGTGGGAAGGAAAATGAACATAATCAGTCAGTTTAATATAACTATTATACTCTTAGGATCACTGGATGTGTATTTTTAACAAAATAGTGAGAAATCAGCGAAATTGTTTTTGCGATAAATGTCGCTAGGTTGAGACCCACGTTAAGTGTTCCAGTGGATTAGAATTTCGTGTAAGTTAACAAAACGCATCAAGAAAATTAAAATTAGGCTTTTCAGCGGCAATTATATTGAGGATAATAGAAACGATAGTGTTGTAGGTGAGAATGGCGTTAAATCTCGGGACACCTCATCGGTCTAGCGCAACTGGAACGTCGCGATATATAACCGTCCTGTCAGAGTGCCAAAAATGCAGATGTCACGCTACAAGACTGATTGTTTTGTACGTTTAGGTTCTATCCTTCCGTGTTAAATGTATAAATAGTATAGAAGACTTCTCATGGTAAAAACGATGATATTCCGAATTTTTGGCCAAGATTTCTACAGTTTATTCATCTCTTGAAGACTTTTGGCACTAAAATAAAAATATTATAAAATAATATTATAATATTTTTTAATTTAATACGAGTATATCTGTCTAAATATTAAGTTGTCTAAATATTGTACAGAATTACAAAAATTTACATCCAATCAAGAGGATTCAGGCTGGGGGAACGTGGTGGCCAACGCCAAAGAGATTGTTGTAAGGAAATTAATAAAATATTAATTACATCACTACAATAATTTGACACAGATTGATATACACTAGGCACAGAAATTAAGGGATATTAAAAAAATCCCAAAATTTTGGGTGATTTTCAGAGCTATAACTTGGAGGGAAATGGTCGTAGAGAATAAATAAAAAGGAAATTGAAACTTTAAGTGTCTAGTTTAAAATTTTTTAGCTTCAGCAGTATTCATAAGAAAATCAATGGAAAAAAAAATTTGTAAATTTTTGCTTTTTTTAAAAAGGCCTGTGGACTTAAAACACTTTTTTGGTAATTTCATCATAAAGTTCTTTTAGATAGTTTAATTCTCTTCAATTTGAGCGGTTCTGGAGTCTTGTACGATTATTTGCTGCCGAGTTATCGTCGATCAAAGCAAAAAAATCATTTTTGATTTTGGCAATCAATTACTTGGGAAATACTTAATGGTTGTACAGAAAATCCGGAAACTGCAAAGTACTACAAGTCCTAATTATGGGGTTTTGATAAAAAAAAATGTGTTCAAAGTGAAAATGTTGGTTAGAAGAAAGGTAAAAAATTGCATAATTAGGGATATTTGAATAACTTGACATAACTTTGCAAATAATGTACAAACTAAAGATATCGACTGTAACTTTTCAACCTCAAAGTGTCCTAAAGAAACCCTGATAAATTCAAAACGCTGCGATTTTTTGTTCCAAGTACCCGGAATGTTTAAATTTGTCGTTTTGCTGAAAATCAATGCAATTTTTCACTTTTTATTCATTTTTCAAAGTTAAAAATGTTTTTTTTTAATAATAATCCATAATTTCTTCATCAAAAAACGTTCTTGATTCATGCTTATGTGTTAGAGGGCACTGAACCCGAATCCGAGGTTTGTTTACCCCTAAAATACACCCTAGAGGTCATTCAAGGTCATTTCAAGGTCATTCATGAAGTATTTTGGATAGAAAAGTTAAAATCAGTCTGAAAAATCTGAAAAAAATCGTCTGAATGTTTTTGAGGTCACTGAATGCGAATCCAAGGTTATTTAAACTCCATCACGTCCGGTTCAAGGTGATTTGAAGGTCAAATCAAGAAATGACCTCCAAAATATCTGAAAAAATTCGTGCTTATGTTTTAGGGGTCACTGAATCCGAATCCGAGTTTGTTTACCCCTATAATACCCCCTAGAGGTCATAGGCCTTTAAAAAAAAAACAAAAATTTACATTTTTTTTTTCCATTGATTTTCTTATGACTACTCATCAAAAACTGCTGAAGCTAAAAAATTGTAAACTGCAGGCCTGAAAACTAGACACCTGAAGCTTCAATTTCCTTTTTTTTTATTCTCTACAACCATTTCCCTCTAAGTTACAGCTCTTTGAAAATCACCCAAAATTTTGTTTATTTATTAATATCCCTTAATTTATGTGCCAGTGTATTTTGTTTCATTAATTCTGTTTTAATCATTAACCTACTTATCTAAATCGGATAACTTGTATTTAATTCATCATCGTTCACAGATTGCTTGATGCTTGATAAAAATTATATAATAAGATAAAAAGTCATATTTGGTTATACATTGGACTGCTTAATAAAATAGATGTATTACCGTTCGGCGGGCAAACTCCGTTGACGTAATACCCGGGATAAACCATGTTGTACACCTGATGATGGCCGCTGTAGTCCGAAACGTTATTTGAAGCCTCGCCCCCGCTGAAGTCCTGACTAGTAGCTTCTTCGTTGTTTGGACTCGTTGATTCCGTCTGAAAACAACACAAATCCTATTCAGAGACACTTAATCTCGTTGTTATCTTTTGTCATATTCATAATTTTAGGGTAAAAAATATAATTTTGTTCTAATTATAACCACCCGGCTGTACCTGTTAATTTAAAACGATTAATTTTATTTGTAACTTCGGAATACGAAATATGTGTGTATAGGCAATTAATTACTGTTGTAATCGTATGAGTGGCTGCCAACTTTGTGAGCATACTGACACTGCGAAGAAATAATAATTTAGGCCTATTATTAGTCTGCGGTGGTACTGATGGCATTTTTCATTAAAGATGTGTCCGTATTAACCTTAATTTTGTACTATGATAATTTTAACATCCTGTATAAGAAATGTAGAGGATTCATTTAACTGTTGGCATTGCCTAACTAAAGTATCAGAAGAACTTAGGGGGGTCCGTGACTAGAGGACAGATCTAAAGACACGTACCATAAAAAGAGACGATTTGTTTCTTAAAAAAAATCGCTCTTCGATTTTTTGAAACTTTGGGATGTTAATCTACTTTGAATTTTACGAGAACCGTGTTTTTTGTTTTTCCGAAAAAAATTTTTGGAGCTCTGTAGCGCCATGTCATTTACATCGTGATGGCGTTATTCCGAAAATGAAAATGCAATTTTATTTCAAGTGTCATTTTGGCCTAAATCATCCATTTTTTTAAAATGTACAGAATTTCATCAGCTTTTAACTGTTTTTTTCAGGATTCAAATTGTTTTAAAACGTTCTGATATAAATGAGAAAAACGGAAAAAAGTGTCATCAGCTTTTACCTGTTTTTTTTTTCAGAATTTAACAGAATTCAAATTGCTTTAAAAAACGAAAAGTCATTTTTTTCAAAATTGATTTTCCCAAAAATCTCATCTTTTATTTTCACCTTTGGATATGTTTTTAAGGGCCAAATAAGAGCTATCTGTTAGCCAGCAAATGCTAACATGCTCGTTCGGGAAATACGATTTTGCAGTTCTTCAGTTTTCAAAAGTATTAATACGTACCTACCTACTTTTGAAAACTGAGGAACTGCAAAAATTTCATTAAGATTATCTTAAGAGATTGATGCTGAAGGAAATGTACCTAATGTAGAAACTTCAATACAGAAAAACAAACAAACATGAATACCTCACAATCAGTGTTAAATTTTGATTAATATTCGTGACTATTATTGCTACCTATTATAGTGATTTCACAAGAGTAAATTACTGTAATTAATTAATAAAATAATATACTTTATTTCATTTGTACTAAATTGAAAGTTGATTTATGCTGATTCTTTTACTTATTTCTACGTTGACAAATGATTTCCCGTTTTAAAATTATTTTTATACGAGCTTAGACATAACGCATAAGGCTTAAACGTGTAGAAATATCGTCTTTGAAAATTGTCATTGGTATATTGCCTCTCTGCTAAAAGATATCCTGGTGAAAATAAAAGGTGGGGTTTTTGAGAAAATCAATTTTGAAAAAACTACTTTTTGCCGTTTTTCTAATTTATCTCACAAAGTTTTAAAGCAAATTGAATTCTAAAAAAAATGATGATTTGGGTCAAAATGACGGCCCCTTGAAAAAAATATGCATTTTGTACACTGTCTCTCGAATGGAGCAGGGTGACATATTGCCGCTTGGCAAAAAGATAGCTTATTTGGCCTTGAAAAACATATCCAAATTTGGTGGAAATAAAGAGTAGGGTTTTTGAGAAAACCAATTTTTAAAAAGTGATTATTTTCCGTTTTTTTTCAATTATCTCAGAAAGTTTTAAGCAATTTGAGTTCTGAAAGAAAAAGGTAAAAGATTGATACAATTCTGCACACTTTGAAAAAATCGTTTCGATAGGATGATCTGGCTCAAAATAACAGCCACTTGAAAAAAATATGCATTTTCGAAACCGTATCTCCCGAACGAAACAAGTTGGCATATTGCCGCTTGACTAAAAGATAGCTTATTTGGCCTTGAAAAATATATCCAAATTTTAGCCCAATTAATCTAATGTTAAATTTTCAAAAAATACTACATGGAAAGAACAAATATGGCGAAATAGGAAAAAAATCTAAGAAACATTATATTTTTTTCCTGTGGCGCATAAACGGCGAAGTCAACTTAAAAATTTCATAAAAGTCAAAAAAACAGTTTTTCGCTAATAAAAAAAAACTTGAACTCCAATCGAAAATAATCGAAATAAGAAAGTTGTAGCTATTAAAAAAACCTATCGACTCGTATTTTAGATATATCGATTGCTATATTACTTTTCGAGATATATATATCGAAAAAACCGTCAAAATCGACTTCTTTTGTTTTTGCTGTATCTCTTGCAAATTAAGATTTTGAAACTTGTTACTTGCTGTAAATGTAGCCCTCGACAAGCAAAAACGTGTCTTTTTTTAAATTAAAAATTTTTCGAGTTATTCGATTTTTCGAAATAAAGGTCATCTCAGAAATGACCTCTTTTTGCTCGACGAATAGTCGCAGAGAAACGACTCAGGGCTCATCATTTTTTCCTTAAGGGTTGTACTTTCATGGTAAAAATGAGTGATAACGATTTTATTCATTTCAAGTGTCCAAAAATGACTGAAAAAAGTAAAAATTTTTTGATCGCGTTTTTCTTGAATTTCTTTTTCTATTTTCATTTTTCGTTAATGTCTATTATAGGAATCGATTGCTGGCATTTTTACAGGAATTAAAAAAAAACGTTGCTCTACGACCTTCTGGAGGCGAGATATGTATACAGGTTCGAAAAGTCCCCATGGTTCATCGGCCGTTACGTGAGAGCGAGAAAGTATATCATAGAAATCCGTGCGATAGAGAAGGATGACTATAATGAAGGCGTCTCATAGTCACCGCCCGTTTCGCCCTTCCACAAATAAGATCCACTTCCATCTTTGTTTTCGTCGTTTGCCTTTTCTTTAATAGATGTCACTACTTATACAATTCCGACTCCCGCATTCCGATATGTTAATACAATCCGTTAACAGAGGGCAGCACAATTTCTCTAAGATGAGATTTTTTTGGAATTGGGGAAATAGGGAATTTTGCTTTATTTCTTGGGGTTTTTAAGTCATTTTAAAAAGTATACTTAAATAACAGCGTTGTGCTGCCCTCTGTTAACGGATTGTATTAACATATCGGAATACCGAAGTCGGAATTGTATAAGTAGTGACATCTATTATAGAAAAGGCAAACGACGAAAACAAAGATGACCACCGGTCGCTGAATTACAAGTGGAAGTGGATCTTATTTGGGCGGTGACTATGAGACGCCTTCATTACAGCCACCCTTCTCTATCGCACGGATTTCTATGACTTACTTTATCGCTCTCATGTAACGGCCGATCAACCATGGGGACTTTCCGAACCTGTATATATATTTTAAATGGGTTGTAACAAGTACCTAAAAGCCCATAAGAAATGTAAGTCAAACTTTACTTCTTGAAAATAGAGACTAGAATACACTTTAGTCAAAGAAGTGCAAAAATTATTTGCGGAAACTTCTTATTTATCTTTTACATACTCCACCCATGAATGAATCTCAATTCAATTACATACATTTGCATCATTTTTCTAAGAACTAAAAAATTCTTATCTTATCTGTTACGCCATACCATTTAATTCGTTGTAAATCACCCGAGATGTACATAAGTACAAATATTTATGATCCCAATATATACCTACGTTCAAAGTTTAAGAAATTCTACGAGATTCTCGGAAATTCAACTTAACTGATAAGAATAACTGACGAAGTTACGGAGATAAGTACCTATTTATCAACGCAGTTTTGGTGGCGCTAAAATATTTCTTATCAGATTTAACTTATTAAGACCATATAAGGCATGTAACAGATGGATTGTAATCGTTTTAGGTTCTCTATGAGCATAGTCCTAAGTCCTAAGTCGTCAGGAGCTCGTTGTTTTTAAAATCCTATTGTCATCGTATTTTATCACCCTGATGACACTGCGGTAAGATTTAAACGTTGATATTTTGTCACGTGTTTGGCAAATTACGGCAATTAAATCTGTTAATAGATTTAGTTTTGTCAAATGTACAGTGCATTGAGTTTAGCGGTTATATAATAAGATCCATGGGCGTTCGCAGAAAAATTTCTCGGGGGTCAAATTGAAATTGTGGATGTGAATTTAGCAGAAGCTTAAAACATATATCTCACGAAATTTTAGACAGGCAATACCTATCTCCTCTCAAAAGTGTTTACGGCAATGGAAATTCAATTTGGTGGTTTATACTGCAATCAATCAATTCATCCAATTGTATTTTATTATTTTTTCACGTGAAATCAACTTCAAAATTTTAATTAGAACACCTTGTTTATTATTACATGTTCAAAAGCCTTGTTACAATACAAATTATGATGGAAAATAAAATGCAATAAATTTAATTTCTTGAATTCTCGTCTTAATTTTAGTTTATTGAATTTATGTTAGAACAATTTAATTAATAGAATAAATGTTATCGAAATTATATTTTTTAAATTGCATTTCCCCATCATACGTCTGAAAATACGAGTAATGGGTATATGATTTTTACTCAACTGATAATATTTCTGCTATTGTCTAAAAAAACCCCTAATCTCATAAATACAAAACTGGAAAGAAAATTTGATAATAAAGAATATCTACAATTCTACACTAAGTTTAATTTCCAACCAAAATCTTTTGCTAAATTTCAATGATAGATTCACGCAGAAAAGTACCTATAAATATATTTTTTAAATCGTTTCATATTCGGAATATCCGGTGTTGTAATTGAATTTCTTTTATTGATATCTTGGAATTGCAACAGTCAAGTCCTGTTTACATAGAAACGCACCTTGTATATATTTTTTGAATCGCAAGGAAATTCCTAAATAATTGGTCACTTGTAGTAATACTGAATTAGATATTGGTTAATGAATTGTATTGTGCAAAAAAATTGCTATGCTTCACTTACAGTTTTAAATTTATAAATGTTTTTAATGTTGAAAAGATGAATGACTTACCAACGAGCCTGTGCTGTATCTTTTCGATTTAAAATTGGAAAATTCGGGGTAGTACGTCGGAGGGTTGTACAGCATCAAGGGGTAGGTTTCGTAACCTAGAAAATAAAAAACGAACTGATCATCAACTTAGAGAACTTATACCCTAGACAATATTCAATTTGGTAGCACACTATTCTTTTGTGATTGGCACTAAAATTACAACTAAAAGGTTAATTTAATAATGCAAATGTTTTTATTACTCGCGGGTAAAATATTTAAAATTTTCACAGTGGCGCTAGTTCAGATAGGAATCTTTAGAAAATAGTAATAAAAAAACAGCATTAGTCTTGTGCGACATGACAAGTAACACCTGTTGGCAGTCAGTTAAATCAGATGCTTACGCTTGCTTCTGGGTGCTAACAATAAACATAATTTTTTACAACTAAGTGTAAAGATAGTCGAAAATAGGTTCAAAATAGGTTCATTTTCGATATACAGACTTTTTTAAATAAAATTTTGTCTAGTCTGTTGAAAATCAAAATTGCTTAATTTTAGCTATAATTAAAGTTACCGGAAATTTTAATTGCAGTAAAAATGTAAAAAAAATTGTATCCTTAGACACAAAACATTTTTTATCTGCTCCCACTATAATAAATAAACTATTAGTATATTGTTTTTAAGGAGGTAAGTGGATTTTACCGTAGAAGTGAAAGTTGCTATGGACAACGGGAGGTAAGTGAGGTAACTTACCTCCCTAGGGAAAAAAGCGATTTCGAGTTATAAATATTTGATGAACATTATATTTTATTAATTATTATGAATGAATATTTATAGTAATTGTACAGTTATTACATTTAGTAACATTTATAAAATTTATTCCCCTCGTGTTTACTAATTGTCACATTTTTCTCAAAATGATCTGACCGCTCCATTTCAATCACCGGAGACTCAATATTATCTGACTGATCCATTAAAACAGCATGATGCGACGTACTACTAGAATCTGGACTTGAAGTGTCATTGTAAAGAATCCTGTTGGCTATTTCATTTTTGTTACTTAAACTGTTAGCAACATAACTTTCTGCAATTATGGCTGATTTCCACCTACCATGTCTCTTGCTTGCTAATACATCAACTCCTGTATTAGCGAGTAACGTTGCCGATGTTCTTCGGAATGAATGGCCTGTATATGTTTCAGGATGTTCTAGTTTCAGAAACTGTGCAATCTTATTAGGAATCATAGAAATGTCATTCTTGTCGACTGGTTGGTTGTAACATCTACCTAGCACAGCCGTCCTATTTTGTCCAGTAAGTACAAAAATTCTTCTCGTACTAGTACTAGTATCATTTTCAACAAGCTCAAGCACTTCTGCAGCATTGTTTTTCCGCACAACTTCTGTTTCCCGAGTCGGTTTACGGAACAAACCTGTTAATGGAAGAGTTGTGAAGGTTCCAGTGAACGTTTGCTTGTCTGGAAGACGGCGGTTTGGATATCGTCCAGTTTTGTCGTGCTTTGTATAGGGAAAAGTTACAGTGTAAATAGTGTCCTTCCCACTTGTGAAACTCTGTTTAAACTGTTAAACATAAAACACTTCACAAAACGACACAAAATTTTGCTTGAATCACAATTATGAACTTTCATTGCAATTTATTGGCAATTCCGTCATACCATTATATTATGTTGGTAAATTGGAATACATTGAATTTAATCTTAATGTCGATCTTTATACTTTATCCGAAATCGTGAAATATTGCTTACATTCTGTAACATCTACATTAATTACTAATTAGTCCGCTTATAATCCATTACCATCATATAAAATAAGTCGTTAAAACAGAGTCAGCGTTAAATTGTAATGAGAGGTTTGTTCAGTCAAGTGGTTCTGTATTAATTACCGTTTTTTGGCACCTGCGAATTAAAGTTTGTGTTAATTTTAGACACCTACTGCTTGATATGCCAAGATTCGAACAACGTTGAATAAATTTATTTCGAAAATTGTCTTTTAGAAGCTATTTTAGTTTTTTTTTAAAAAATAAAATGGCGAATGCGCCGGTATTTTGTAAATTATAGTTGGTAGGTAACAAAAACAAGTTTAATTCATTTATTTTTTGATTAATTGGACATTTGTGTTAAAGAAACTATAAGTAGCAGATTTATTAAAAACTGAATATTATATTTTTCTCTAATTTAGCTTTGTTCTGAACGTTTGAGTTTATACACTGAAAAATGAGTGAAAGCATAAAAGTTCGAATCCATTGAGTGAAATTATTGAGTACATTTTCATTCAATATTGAGCATTTTGATCATTTTACTCATTTGTGATCAAATTTAAACTAAAACTGAGTACTTTCACTCAAATATACGTACTCCTTAAATAAATTCTTCACGTAAACTCGTATTTGGCGCAGAGTAAATGTCCTTATTACTGAGTGAGTTTAAATGTATATTAATTTTGAGTAATTTGAATGGCGCCGTGAAGATGGCACCACTTACATATTGCTTCTGTAATCTCGACCACAGTTGATAGGGGCCCGTTAGATGCTCCATAAAAGAGTGACCGCCAGGAGAACACGCCTTAGCCGGCGGCGGCGGATCTCATCTGGCGGGTCTCAGCCAGGACAGGAGGATGCCCAACGCTGTATATCCTAATTAATAATTAATGAGTGATTTATTATTGCACTCAATATTTAGTTGATTAAGAACCAAATCTGAGAAAAAAATGACCAACAGTTTAGAGCAAATACCTTGAGATTTACGCATAGTACACAAACTACAGTATCAATTTCGATAAAGTAGCCAATTTTTTGAGTTTATTTTGTTCGATTTCCTATTTAGATATTAAAAAAATGTTTCCAAACAAAGTTATCCAATATTTTTATTGTTTTCATTCATTTATTTTATTACAATTATGTCAGCTCTAATCATTTTACATATTTCTTACATACATTATTCAATATTTTTTGTGAATAAAAAAATTACAATAATTCAGCAGCAGCATTATTATTTGCATACAAACTGCAAAACAGCAACGACTATGCAACTTCAACATCTAATATTTTCGAAGTAAATGAATATTATTTTCCCCACGATTTGTTTATATTTTCTTAATGATATGAACACATTTTCTCTGCTGTTTTAAGTTCCCTTGCCACCAATTGTCGCCTTCCCCGCTTTTTTGCCTATTTGTTTAGCAAAATCAAGTATTTTTTTGTTGTCAGAGACAAGACCTTCTAGAAAAGACGTTCTAGGTAGCACGTTGGGCAATTTAACTAACTTGTATTCTGAGTTCAATTGTATATTGTTCTTAGACTAGTATGGTTAGTAACTGCCTGTTTACTATTTATATAATTCATAAAAAATATAACTGTAATTTTTACAGGTGTTTTATGTTTATAAAGAGTTTAAGTAAATAACTTTTTAAAACTTTGAAGTGCTTAAAAGAAGCACTAAAAGAATAGTCAACTCATATTCAACGGTAAAGTAGCTTAGAATACTCATAAGTTGCTTAAACTCACGTATATTTCACAGGTCGTCAGTTAAATTTTAGAAAGTGTCACTAAAATTCGTCGTAAACTAAAATAGAAATAATAATGGAATAAATAAAGTTTCAGAGAATATTAACAATATTTCAGATTTCATATATTCAATTGTATTTTAGACAGTTGTTGATGGTGTCGAACAATTAATTATATAAGCTGTATATAGGAAACTAAACGTGCTACGATGATGGGGTATAAAATCTATTAACAAAAAAGAAATTGATTTAAAATATTTTCAAGTTTGTAACTTCAACGCTATAGTGTTACAGAAAATTGTCGTTTTTTCGAAATTTCGCTTATATAACTCAAGTTGAAAATACAAGTTTTAGATACACTGTTAAACCCTTCACAAGTTTTATATGAACTTTTTTTTTGTTATTACCATAGCAACGCCAGTATAAAGGACGAATTTTTACTTATGATATGGGAATAAAAATGTTATTTTCCTGCGCAACGGTAGACGACACTAATTAGAAAAGTTTTGTAATTGTCTCCATTTGCTAAAAAAAAATAAATGCAACGATATAGTTTTTTTCATGGCTTGATAGACCATTTATTAAGGAAATCAAATGTACAAACCGGAGGTCGAATATTTTTTCGTTTTCAAGTAAAATAGTAAAGTTGTGCTAGAACGACCTCCTTTATTTAGTTCTGTAATAGTCCAGAAAATATAGAGTTGGACGCGACTTTTTGTTTCGGCAAGCTGAATTTATCACTATAGATGCTAAATATTATGTACAGTAACATATTTCCACAGTCAAAAAAATGGGGGGAAGATTGTTTTATGGATTTGTTAGTACAATTTCGAAACTCAACTTAATTTTTTTCTCAAATGCTTGTAACGAAATCTGAAATACATTTTACTCTTTCTGAATTAAGCCTGATATTCTGAAAATTAAACGGCAAACTAAAATTTGTAGAAGTGGGATATTTGGAGCCGGTCCTGGAAAAGCAACAGGTGATTAACTTAATTTTAATTAACAAAGTGTGATGGCAATTAGCTTACCTGTTATGAAAGCTAATCAAATTACTTTGGAGTTTATAATTAGAATTTCATCGGGATAAGTACCGCTTCTTAATTAAATTTCGAATTATTCGATGTACAATGGATTATCAGGGGTATATGGAGTGGAAAATCAATTTCCGAAAGTCCCATAAAATATCAATTCAATCAACAGGAGTACTGTTGTATCTGGGTTTACGTATATTTTAAAAAATTCTGTGTGACTTTAAAAAATTGTTTGGAAATAACTGTCAAAAAGTCAAAAGTGTTAATTCCTATTCCTACACAGAATTTCTTGTCACAGTTGAATCTTACTTACTGTTTATGTAATAGATGCCGTTCTGGTCGACAAAGCCATTGGGGAAGACAAACTGCGATTCGTATTCTAAATCTGAAATCAATTTTTGTTATTAATAAGCAGAAAGATAGATACAAGTTCATAAACAAATAAAGGACCCCGCACAAATCTAATGGAAATTGGGTCCCGGTCAAATTCGCTGAATTTTTGATATGTGATAGAGTTCATCATACTGGTCAATTGTCTCAATGGCCACAAAGCTCAAAAATGGATAGTTTGGCCGGTACAGAGCTTTAAAGCTCCGAATATCCTCCACGGATTTATGTATATGCGCAGTGTGTATAGACTTTTGAAATAGCCTATTTCATTTTTTTATTATCTAGGTTTTCATTTTTGAGGTTGCTGAATTCAGATCTGTTGTTAGATTTTCAAAATTGACAGTTGGCAGCTGTCAAATAGCTGTCAATGTGCTATAATAAAGCCAAAAACTTGTTTTTTATGTTATCTTTCTTTTTTTTTTAGTTCGATAAGTTCAAAGACGATATCAAATCAATAACAATGACTATCGGCAGCTGTCATTTAGCTGTCAACAATTCTTCAAAGTCCGGTAATAAAGTAAAAAAAAATATTTTTTGTTTATAACTTCAAGTTTTTTAGATAAGTGAAAATAAATATGATATAAAATTATGTAGTCATCAGCTTACAGCTGTCAACAAGCTGTCAACTAACTGTCAAAATGCAATAATAGAGAAAGTAACTTATTTTTTGTGCTTAACTTTGTGGATAAGAAATCAAACATGATATAAGTTTATGATTTATCACTTTTGAACTCAGTGATCTAAGCAACTTAAAGCTTTTTAAAGAAAGTAACTTTTCGACTTTATTATTGCATTTTGACAGTTAGTTGACAGCTTGTTAACAGCTGTAAGCTGATGACTACATAATTTTATATCATATCTATATTCACTTATCTAAAAAACTTGAAGTTATAAACAAAAAATAATTTTTTGACTTTATTACCGGACTTTGAAGAATTGTTGACAGCTAAATGACAGCTGCCGATAGTCATTGTTATTGATTTGATATCGTCTTTGAACTTATCGAACTAAAAAAAAAGAGAAAGATAAAACATAAAAAACAAGTTTTTGGCTTTATTATAGCACATTGAAAGCTGCCAACTGTCAATTTTGAAAATCTAACAACAGATCTGAATTCAGCAACCTCAAAAATATAAACCTAGATAATAAAAAAAATTAAATAGGCTATTTCAAAAGTCTATACACACTGCGCATATACATAAATCCGTGGAGGATATTCGGAGTTTTAAAGCTCTGTACCGGCCAAACTATCCATTTTTGAGCTTTGTGGCCATTGAGACAATTGACCAGTATGATGAACTCTATCACATATCAAAAATTCAGCGAATTTGACCGGGACCCAATTTCCATAAGATTTGTGCGGGGTCCTTTAATTTATTACATATTCGTATTGTATTATATTCATTAGACTGGGCCAAAAAAATCGCCTCTTTTTTTTTGAAAGATATATCGAGAATATCATTCAAAATGAAGGAAAAAAAATATCTTGATGTTAGAGATCTAACATCGCTAGTTTCGATTTTTATTCCTGATCCCATTTTTGCGTTAAAACTGCCAAACCATCGAGGTAAAATAATTTATCTACTATTTTTTTGAAGGAAATTACAAAAAACTACAAAAAACGTTTGAAAATTTTCGGCAGACGAGCCGTTTCCATGTAATCAAGCCTTGAAAATTGATGTTTTCGATTTTACTTTTTTAATTTTGGAATTTTGTAAATAACGAACAAATTAATATTTGAAAAAGAACAATAAAGATTTTCAAAGGAAATTTAATGCTCTACAAAAAAAATAAATTTACTCTTTCAAAATTTATTCACGATTGAAGTTGAAGCAAAAATTAAATTTTTGTTTTTTTCGTTTTGGACGCAATTTTTTCCACCCGAAGGAACAAATTGATATTATACATCATCGAAAATTATTATTCTATCAATATAATCACCAAATATATCCAAAATTCATAATACATATATTCAAATTTATTCTCGCTCAATAGCTATTTTTTCTACAAGAACGTAGTTTTTCCGTTTCAAAATAATTTAAAAAATAACAATTATGTACTTTTACTACTGAAGATTATTTATTTATAATAGGAAAAAAATTTTTTTTCATTTTTTTTCAGAGAAGAAAAGGGTAGTTTTGAAAAAAACTGTTTTTTAAGTGATTACAGACTGCACAAAAATTAATTAGAATGTCACAAAAACGGTATAAATCTGGGTCGAAATCTGGTTTGGGTCATCATCTTTAATTTTAATTTAATTAAAAGTTGATGAACAGAAGCATAGGACGGAAGAGCCGAATCGTGCTGGAAACGTTTGGATTTTGATTTCTTCAATGCCCGAAAGGTTTTCGAAAAAAGCAAAAAAAATTCAAAAATTTCGGAAATTTTATAGAAAATTTTTCGAATTTTTTTTTGTTTATCAATTTAAACGTTATTTGCTGTAAGAATGTGAGAAAACCTAAAAAAAAAAATGTTTACATTTTAATCAAGATTATGAAGTGTTTAAGCTCAAAAACCGTGACCCTTTAATTTTTTCCAAAAGTTTGACTGACTTGATAAAGAAACGATTAGCTAGATCGAGATGAAACTTCACAGGGTTCTTCTGGATATATCGAACTGTAAAAGTCATGCTTAACATTAGTCATTTCGTGAATATTTCTAATTTAACCGTCAATTTTCTAAAAAACCATAAATTACCTTTTTTTCCTGTTTTTTAAAATTCGTGTAAAAGATGAAAAAAAAAAAAAAAAATCCGAAAAGTTACGGCAGCATGTTATAGGAAATTTATTCCAGTTTTCGCAACTGCCCTTCAATTCTCTGTACGACCATTTATCGCCGAGATATCGATGACTGAAGACAAAAGGATCCTTTTCCATTAAAAGTCCGATATTTCGATGAAATATGGTCGTATCGAAATTAAAAAAAAAAGGAAATTGAAGCTGAATAAACAAGCTATCTGGTCCATGCAATGGCTTAGCCGTGGAAAAAAAAATTATATCGCGCTATTTCTTACAATTGCATGATAATCGTAGCTCCTAAAAAATTTCGACCAAAAGATCTAAAAACTAGAATCTTAGAGCTTCAAATTTTTAATTCCCGATACGACCATTTTTCACCTAAATACAGTCTGTCAAAAATCACGGAAAAACTTCAGAAATTCTTTTGACTTTAATTTTTTGCATTAGTTTAGATAGTGTCATAGACACCTCTTCAATTAGTGTTTGGTGTACAGCAAGTAAGAGAAATGTTACATTCGCTTTATCGCCAAAATGTACAAGCGTTATATGCTGAAGATGCTCTTCAGCGGATATAATTTTGTTGCTGGTTACTTCAACAACATGCACACATTGATACATTCATTTCGCTTCTCATGTGGTTTGATGAAGCGTGTTTTATTAGGGACGGCATAAATAACAATTATAATGAACATATCTGGGCGTTGCAAAATCCACATGCAATTAGATCAAGATGATTTCGGCAAAGTTCAGTGTCAACGTTTGGGGTAGCATTTTCAACAATAATCTACTGCATATACATGTTTTAAATTATCGTTTAAATGTAGATCTGTATAGAACTTTCTTGGAAAGCAACCTATTTGATTTCATTGATGACGTAGGGCTTAATATTGTTCAAAATTGTGGTATCAGCATGATGGTGCACCACCACATAGGGAGACAAGTAGCTATTTAGTTAAATAATGGTCATTTCCCGAATAAATCGATAGGTCAACAAAGTCCAGTAGTATGACCACCGTGTTCCCCAGATCTAAATCCTTTGGACTTTTATTTATGGAGACGTATGAAGCAATTTGTCTATGTACGAATCAGACCTATGTTTATATAAGATCTGTCAAAGTTTAGCATAGAGTTTGTAGAACACCCTGTATTAAAAGTAAGCAAGATGTTTGACACACGAGAACCTGCGCGAATGTGGCAAATTAGCACATCGCGGTTTTGTCCAACAGTTGCAGTTTTTTTAAAGACAAACAGACTTGAAGAAATATTTTAAAAAGAGGCAGTCGAGTCTTAGTTGTCAATGTTAGTGACCACGGGTAATTACAGATAAATAGCAAATATGTTCTGATTTTCAGTTTAACGCGCTTGTAGAACGTTTAAGGAAAACTTACGACAATGAATATTCGTTGTTCAAAGTTTGGAAGATAGAAAATGCAGCACAAAAAAATTGGAAGCAGTTTTCTTAATGTATTTTTTTTTTATAAAAAGTTAGTTGGTTGGCATTTGCTAATACGTTAATAAAATTGCAATCTGTGGTATTTTATTTAGTCACAAAAATACAAATCCGACTGTATGGGCGCAATTATCACTGCTCAAATCTACGTTGAAAAATTAGAATATTGGCAAATACCACAAGTTGACTGCTGCAGGAAAAAGCTATTACAAAGTTAAACGCTTGAATAAGCTGGCCGAGGGTACAAATTTCAAGATCGAACCAGAAAAATGCGGCCTCCATAAAGATGTCTCGCGTAGGTAGTTTATTCCGTGGAACATAAATGACAATTAACATATTTTAAAAGCGCTATTTTAATTTTAACGACTTCTTAGTCACTGAATTTTACTATTTTTACGACCCTAAAACGGTCCTTCGGGAAATAGTTGGTTAAAATTTATTGCGTCTTCAGATACCCATTATCAGATATTAATAAAAAACTATTTTAAAAGCAAGACTAATTTTTAAACGCAGTATTTTTGGGCTAAGACTTAAAATCAATTTGGTCTATGGTGCTGTATGGCCATTTTGATATTCCGAGAGAATATGGTCCTCTTTTTCAGAAGAAAGTCAGTTTGAGTTTCTTCTGACACGTGAGAAATTGTTAATGTAGAATAATATAAGGCATAAATTTAAATAATATATAAAGTCTCGATATTTCAAAGTAGCGTCATTTGCGTTACCAGATATTAGTAAAAATCACAAAATTATGTCATTTTTGCAGCTAAAAAATTGTGGAAAATAAATTATTTATGCTATTGGACCTATCTGAAATAAACACGGTTTTAAATTTTAAATATAGTTATTGTAAAAATGTAACAATGGCCAGAAAAATATCTACAGGACGCAAACAAAGGTCTGAAACCTTTGTTTTTTTTGCTTATGTTTTTAATGCATTAAAAAAGATGATTTGAGTGAATAACCTTGTAGTGTATTTTGGATTTTGTTTGTTATTATATTAATATTATTATTATTTTATTTATTTTTGTTATTTTTTATTTTGGCCAATTATAGTTGCAGTTGTGAAACTACTGTTGATGTATCTTCCGATCTTTGATCAAAATAAAAGATAAAAAGAAGACGAAAGAAGAAGAAAAGAAAAAAATCAAATCAAACTCAGAAACTAATTACTAAGTTTCATGTTGCATGCATCATTAACATACATAGCTTCATTTTCAAAATTATTAAACTGCAATCATTAATAAGAACGATTCTAATTAAAATTTGGTGATAAACTTTATAATTATGTTCGCTAACAACGTAGGCATATTACCGGCTAATATTTATCTCACATATATCATACTTCTACTTTATGCGTTAATAATTAATATTTAATTACAAGAAACCCAACCTTGTGCGTGGGAAGGGACAGCATATTATAACTCTGCAAGTTGTATTTGCCCAGTTTTTTGCACCATTTAATGCAAAATGTGTACCATCTGACATTTCCTCTGGTTTTATCGTTATGCGAAACTAACCCTTACCTGTCGACTGGTGGTCAGGTGTTCCGTTTCCCGTTGAATTTCCCGTTGAAGTGGTAGAGGTGCCTGTGGACGTTTGGGTCTGGTAGTTTTTCGGTTTGTTCAGGTAACCCTTCTTAAATAGAACGTCTTGCCTAGGAGTCGTGATTTTCGTATATTCATCTGGAAAGAAGAGATACGTCGTTGAAGAAACAACAAACAGATAAAAAGATGGGATATATTCAAGGTACTTTATGGACATTCTTACAAGAAATGCACAAACTTGGGGCGAGATATGGAGCTTCAATTTTTTTTAAAAATAAGTATCTACCATTTTATATGAAATAAATCAAATTTGAGCATTGAAACAATAATGGAATTTGCTTACCATATGTTAATTTTTAATTAAAAGATTTCTATAAATAAAATTTCGTAATGGCTATGGGATAGTCGCTATCTCCAATGTTAAGTAACATATTTATGGAATATTTCATGGTGTATTTTCGCAACTTAGCCTTATAATTACGATGATATAAATAATTGCTTGGACTGTATAAATGATAAAGAAGAAATTAAGTTATCTTTAGAAGCTGAAAAGTTTACACTTTACCTTTCTAAGACCTTTTATTTAAAAAGAATAATAACAAATACAAAACAAATGTCTATGAAAAAACTGCAAATAAATAAAGGTATTTAAATTTCAATTAAAATCATCATATAAATATATTATAATAATAATATAACTATGTTGGCGAAACTTTAAGAGGGTTAAATGTCATAATCGAAAACAGAGAATTTTTCGAAACGTTGATTGTCTTGTAGAGATTTTTGTGTGGTCAGAAAAGAATATTTTAAAACTGTCACAAACTTCTGGTTGGGTAAAGCTAAATTTAGATATAAAATCAACCCCTTCATTTGACTTTTGGCGCAAAGAGTTATTTATGCATTTTCAATGGACATCTAATTAAAAGAAAAGCAAGAACAAATGACATCAATAAATAATTTCAAACAATATTATTTTATTATATACTGTTTGACTTCATTTGATTTTTTAGGAAAACATTTTTTGAATTTATTTGAAAGCGATTTAGGAGGGAACTGAGGCCGGCTCAAAGCTGCTTATAGTTTTAGTGTTTCAGTTCGCGGTTAATGCGCGCGTCGCATAGTACGCGGGTAGTGTCTGATGTCTATGTGAGAGATAGTACAAAGGCTTTAAGGATAATGACAGGGCAGGTATTAATTTGAAGTAAATAAAAAACAACTTCCTTACAACAAAACAAAGTAGGACTAAATTTAACGTAATTTAATAGATATTTATTATATTATCAAATACCTACATAGGTAGCTAATCATGAAACTATCTCACAATATTGTTTTATCCGTTGAAATACCTTTTTCAAGACGTAATGACGTAAACTACTGCTGTAAACAAATTAAAATAACTGGTCAAACAATTTCTGAATTAAGAAACGAAGAAAAATTTAAAAATGTTTCTAATTATGCGAAAAATATTACTGGACGGGGCAAAAGTTGCGACGAAATTTTTTTGCTTTAATAGATTTCCCGAAATTTTCCGAATATGCAAATAAATTTCCTGAAAAACCGTTTGAATGTTTATTACAAATGTGTCCAAACGTTTTTGAAATAAATAGATTGAAAAACAAACTTAATATTTTATCTAGAGACTAGGGTGGCCCGAAAAAACGAATATATTTTCTTCGTGTCTCTTGTGAAAATATGTTAGTTCATCATGTTTTAAGAGCCCCCTTAAAAATCAGCTCAAAAAATATTTTTTTTAGATCGCTCAAGATTTTAAAAAATTTCCAAAATCGTCAAAAATTGATTTTTTTCTCGTTATTTTATCATTTTCTAGGTTAAAAAAATCTCGATTGTGAAAATTTCAAATCGATATTTTAATTTCTAAAGGTTACTCATAATTATTTTAACTTTCAAAGTAGTGTACCTAAAATGTTTTCGAGCAACCTCTAAAAATAAATATCAACGAACTAATATTTTTTTTTTCTTGAATTTGATGAACAAAAGAATAGAAATAAATCACGAGACACTTAAAAAAATTTGTTGAGGCAAAATTTACTACCGCACTGTGAATATCAAATATTTATAAATTTTTATTTTTTTTAAATTTAAGTGTGATTTATTTCTATTTTTTTTGTTCATGAAATTCAATAAAAAAAATTATTAGTTCGTGAATCAGACTGTCAAAGTTGACGGCCTATTGTTAAACAAATTAGGTTGGTATCGGCAAAAAAAATACTGTCATAACCGGCAACCCGAGTACTTTCCCAGGTAAAAATATTTTATTTGTGGAAGTATATTAAGTGCATATGAAATATTGTCAAAAATCAGTGGGTCGCTTGATTTTCGGCGAGCCGTGGCGCGGCGGAAGGGTGGGGGAAGCGAACAACAGCGAGTCTGAAGAAAATGACGATAATATTCATAGTCCTACCATTAAATAAGCGAAATTCGCTTGAAAATAATATATTTGACAGTCTGTAACTCCTTGTTTTTCAACGAATCTTGACGATTATTTTTTTAACTTATAAATAAACTTCTTCTGTTTATAACTTTTGATCTAATCAATATTTGACGTGATATACGTGAATTTATGTAAAAATTATAAATTAACCACCCTGTAAACAATCTTCCCCCCATTTTTATGACTGTGGAAACTAATATGTTATTGTACATAATATTTAGCATATACAGGGTGTAACTAAATAAGTGTAAAACATTTAAGGGGGTGATTCCTCATCGAAAAAAAGATAGGATCTTTCATATAAAGAAACTTCATTGGAGCATCCCTTGTTAAGATACAGCCCCTTAAAGGGGGTACATAAAATTTGTTTAACAATTTTTTTCACAAGCACTAAACAAGTTACAATATTGAAATTAACCTGACATTTTCTACTACCAAAAAGACACTTAGCCAGTAATTTATTTGGTTTACCCCATGGTAGTAAGGGGTGGAAAACGCAACCCCTAAAATTTATTTCCAACGTAATTTTTTGTCTTATTATTTTTTTACCATTTAAAAAATTATTTCCGATAGCCTGTTTCATTCTAAAAAAAAATGTCTCTTGAATTTTTTGCCCAAATTAAACCAGTTCGCAGTAAAAAATTATTTTACGAACAACTACAGAGATACATCGTCATAAATGCGGACTGGATTTACTGTTATTTTGTAGTTACTACCTGCATTAAATGATTAAAGGGGAATAATCAAAACTAATTTAATAATAACAAAACATACAACATGTAGAAATCATAGTAAATGTTCAATATGTCTACCTTCAGACATTACGCATGCGTCTAGACGTCGGCGCATTGAGCCACGTATTCGCTCAAATATTCCTGGAGTCTCTCTAATTACCCTGCACGCATCGATAATGCGGTTTCTTAAGTCCTCTACATCGCGAACAGGAGTACGATAAACCAAATGCTGCAAATGGCCCCAAGTAGACAAATCCAGAGGATTGAGATCCGGGGATCGAGCGGGCCAATTCTGTGGTCCTCCTCGACCTATCCACTGATTTGCATATGTTTCAGTTAAATGCTGACGTGCTACTTGACTAAAATGGGCGGGAGCCCCATCATGCATAAAAACCATATCCCTTCTGACGCCCAAAGGAACTTCCTCCAGCAGTACGGGGGGATGCACTTTTCTTAAAAATTGAACGTATGCCTCACCATTTAATCGAGGAGGTAGAAAATGAGGCCCAATTAAATAATCCCCAATAACTCCGACCCACACCTTAAGAGAAAACTGTTCTTGATGGTTAGTTTCGACAATAGCGTGATGGTTTTCATCAGCCCATATGTGGTAATTATGAAAATTAATAATCTTGTCCCGAGAAAAACTACATTCGTCTGTGAATTCGATCGTCTTCAGAAAGTCACGATTTCTTCTAATCATTTCCAGCATCCAATTGCAAAATTCAAGACGGTTCGGAAAGTCTCGCGGTAACAGTGCCTGTACTCGTTGCAGATGGTAAGGGTATAAGAGATGTTCCTTTAAAATTCGAAATACCGTCATATGATCAACATTTAGCTGGAAAGCAATCTTTCTAGTACTGGTAGTAGGTTGTTCTTCTATCAAATTAAGTACTGCTGCCTCAAGCTGTGGTGTTCTTACTTCTCGATGGCGACCACAATCCTGCGTTCTTTTGTTGAATGAACCATATTCACGTAATCGTTGATGAAGTCAGACAAATATTCTATGTGAAGGATGCTGCCGTTGAGGATACATTTCAGCATATCTTGTAGAAGCTTCTAACCCATTCCCCTGCGACAGACCGTAAACGTAATGCATATCAGCCATTTCCTCATTTGTGTATGCCATTTTAATAACAAGTGAATTATTAAAGTAACAAATTAAGAACAGAACAATACACAATTAGTATTACTTCAATTTCAAAAATTTACAAACTGACAGCTTGATTCCAATTTAATTGTCAGTATCGCTAATGGCGGCCTACTAGATAAATTAGTTTCGTATTTTCGTTTTATGGCGATATGTATCTTGTTCGTAAAATAATTTTTTGCTGCGAACTGGTTTAATTTGGGCAAAAAATTCAAGAGACATTTTTTTTTAGAATGAAACAGGCTATCGGAAATAAATTTTTAAATGGTAAAAAAATAATAAGACAAAAAATTACGTTGGAAATAAATTTTAGGGGTTGCGTTTTCCACCCCTTACAACCATGGGGTAAACCAAATAAATTACTGGCTAAGTGTCTTTTTGGTAGTAGAAAATGTCAGGTTAATTTCAATATTGTAACTTGTTTAGTGCTTGTGAAAAAAATTGTTAAACAAATTTTATGTACCCCCTTTAAGGGGTTGTACCTTAACAAGGGATGCTCCAATGAAGTTTCTTTATATGAAAGATCCTATCTTTTTTTCGATGAGGAATCACCCCCTTAAATGTTTTACACTTATTTAGTTACACCCTGTATAGTGATAAATTCAGCTTGCCGAAACAAAAAGTCGCGTCCAACTCTATATTTCCTGGCCTAAAGCATCTAAGATAATCCAATATTGAGACCATCTAACATTGTTTAAATCTCCAATATAGCTAATAGCTAAGGCGTGTATACATGAAGTCATTACCGCCTTTATACTTGCAACAAAAAAAATAGTCAACTATATTTAACTAAGTATTCATT